AGGAAACCCAGGCTTCCAAAACTGAGTGTATGTATAAGGGAGAGAGCATCAGGCCTTTTTGGAGGTTCCTTGGGCCTGTGTTCCTAGGTGAAGCTCAAAAGCTTACATCTGCATGAATTATTGCCAAACTAGGTCAGGTGACAAAACCCAAAACCAGCACTCCAGTGCCATACCATCACTGCTTTACAAATCACTGTTATTTTGTTTCTAGAGCTTCCTTGTTTAGGAACTGAGACACTGGCAAGACAGAAGATGATAGATTCTGAACAATTCATGTCTCCACCAGTTCTGCACAAGGATGGCCATGCTACTTTGCCTAAGTGATGCATGCTTCTGAAACACTGATGTTTTGTATCAGAATCATGAGATGTCATTTGGGATCACCACAGTTTGTATGCAAAGTATGTAAAACCAGCAGTTTTGGTTTCTGTACCTGGCAGTAAATTGCTGTAAGCTGGCTAACTCCAAGTCCTTCTTGGTCCTGATGCTCTCTTGGGCCTTATCTCCTCCTCTTCCCTTGATATAGCAGTAGCAGCTGGTAGCACTACGGTGGAATTATATATCCCCCCGACAAGATCTCATCAGTGCCTCCAGATTAAATATGCTCTGTCTGGATTCCTTTATTGATTTATGAATAGTCAGGGTAGTAGTGGAAGTAGCAAAGACATTGACTCTATTATAAATAATCCTTTGCTCCTGCTTCTACCAACTCCTTTGTCATGTCAGAAATAAAGGCACATCTGCACCTGTTGTCTCCTCTTCACCAGATTTTTCTGCCACAGGGGCTACAGTTTCCAGTGAGAAGTGCTACTAAGTTTAATACTGTGTTCCATCTTTCCTTCAGAAGATTAGATGATTTCATCAGGACAAGTGATACAGAAAGCAGCAGTGGTGGGAAGAAAAATACTAAGAGTGATGGGATGGAATTTGCATAGGAAACAGCGGGCAAAGGACTAGTTGGAGCAGCAATGACGAAGATATCAAGCGTGGTGCAGAGATGTGGTCCCACTGATGTATCTTGGAAGAGGAAGCAGCACTACAGTTGAAACATAACTATGTGTAGGGGCTCTGCTATCTTTTGCCTGCCCATAGCATGCTAAAGCTAACTCCTGAAATGATTTTCAGGAGCTTTTGCACAGCCATAGTCTCCTTTAGGTCTACTGGTAAACGGCACATGAGCAGCATTCATAAGCTGGCTGCCCTACAGCACAGAGATTGCACAGGTCCCAGAACAGGGCCTCATCAGATCTAGAGGCCATTCACTGCACAACCTCAATTAGCTCTTTATGGCCAACCCCTGTGGACGTGCAGTCAGAGCTGGCCCTGATCCAACATCTACAGTCTTTACAGACTTGAAGGCTCTAAAAATAGCGCAATCAAATACACTCAAAATCAGAATGTGACAGCCAGCTGGAACATAGCTCAGCACAGGCTGTCTCATCCAGTACCTGAGGAGCAGTAAAGCGGGGACTAATTGCATTGATCATTTATTTTCCCTGATTGCACGAACATAACCTTTAAGTCTGGGATCAGCTGCAAGTATAAGTGATTAGAGACTTGAGAATCACATCTCAGGCTTGTGCCTGCCCCACAATACTCCAGGACATAAGGAGAATGCAAACACGTCACTTTTTCTGTAACAGCTTCTCAGCAGTGATCTGAGTCTGCAGACCCTGTGTTGGGCATGATCTGTGTGCTGCTCTCCTCATTAATATTATTCTCCTATCACACAAAGAAGGAATATTCCAAAGTCTTCCAACAAAACAATTTAGCAGAAAAACAAAAAAAAATTAAAGGATATAACCATTTACTACCTAGACCTGCAACTCTGCCTCTCTCCTACACCTGCTTTCCAAATCGTTGCCATTTCAGGTCGGAAGGAGGATCCAGGCCATCTACATTCAACTTAAATCACCCCCCTCTCTCCAAATAAAGCAGCCCCTGAAGCAATTGGAAGAATAGTGTAGCAGCCTCTTCTGTGAACCTCAGTTTCTCTTCTCTGATTTATGCCACATCCCTTACTCCTGCCACATTTCAGGCTCTAGCATTTTTTTTCAGAAACACGTAGCCTCTTACTTTAAATTATGCAATCTCTTAAGGAAACACAGAGAGCGACTTGCACCCTCATTAGAAAGAATTTGTAACTGACAGCTGTGACAGTCATTTACACGTAGCCCTATACATGCTGCTCTGGCAATGCACAAGGCCCTTAACAGCCAAGGGAAGCATAAATTATATCTGCTGAGGGGCAATACATGTTTTACAAGGCATATCAAAAGAGGCTAAAGGCAAGAGCTCTTGCATATTGTTTCCAGTTGTGATACTGTTTCCATAGGACCTTGGGAGATCCAACTCTATACTTAAGTTTCCATACATGTATTTGTTCTTTACAGTGCCTCTAATGCTTTTTAGCTGGTGAGGTCAGTAACTGACCAGTGCGCATATGTGTACCACGCACATAACACAACTGAAGTTTTAGAAAACAGTATCAAGCAAAACAAGTACCTTATCAAGATAACACTAACAAGACAGGAACGTTTACTTGCAATGCACTGTGAAACAAACAAACAAACATGTATTTTAAAAGTAAAAGTAAAACCCTTCAAAAGTTCTTGCAACTTTCTTTTATACTGCTTTGTTTGTGCTCACAGCCCGAGTTGTCACGTGCTTGCCTTTGTGAGCCTGGGGATAGGTGGTAAAATCCCCACTGCGGGCTTTAAACAGGTGGATGAATGCAGAACACCATCATTGTCAAGCATTACTAAAAAAACTATTGACACAAAACACAGATAAGGGCTTGTTCTCATTTGCTTTCCCCCCGCTAACTTCTCAAAAGAGTCTTAAAATAATTTAACATGTTTTAGCTCATCCATGAATTTTAAGCATCAGAAATAATGACAGCCTAAGCTGACCTCCTTGGCATTAAGCAATCCTTATTTTGTCCTAGGAAATCTTCAAAGATCTCAAGAAAGCTTGTATTTCCTACAAATTACAGACAGTGAACCATTATGATAGTGCTACCACTGAAACACATGCACTATCAGTGTTGTTTCCTTTTGTTTTATAGGCATTTGTTCTAAGATCTGCCTATGCTTTAACCCATGTTACAAATTCTACTCCAGCAGCGTGATGTGGTCTAAATAAAAACGACTTCACCTTGTGAGTGCATTACTATGTGCAGGAGGAAGTATAGAGTCTGTGTTATCATTCTGCAGACCACTTTATGGGGGAACAACAGGTGTCCAGTTTAACAATGCCATTAGGCTTGTGACACAGTCTCCAGGAGCTGTTAGAATCTAAAGCACAGTCTTGCCTTTGTACCACATTAAAGCATATTCTTTTTAAAGGAATCATTTACATAGCAAACTTCTGCTATCCTCCTTCAGCTGACACCCTTTTGCACAATATTTTTCAGAGGCTGTGCTTTCTCCCACTAGTACATGTCTGGGGAATCAAGCTACATGCCTTTTCAAACCAAAATTTTATAGCTTTTACCAGACAATAGCCATGAAACTCAGTGAATAGTTATCTTCCTCAAGTCAGAAGAAATCCATTTCATGCTTTATAGTTCTAATCCAACGTTCACCAGCGCCTGTGGGCTTTCATTGCCTTTGATAGGTTTCAGATCAGGTCTTTAAAGAAGTAACATGAAGCCGTACACCTCCACCTAGCTGCAAGCCTCTGGGTCATGATACTATAAAGCTGTGCAAAGCACAGTCCAGCTGAGGTTTTCACTCAGCTCTTTTCCACACCTGCTTATGCTTCTGAGAAGAATCCCTTTTTAGCTTTAAATAAATCTGAAATCCTTACACAGCTCTCACCAAGTGGGGTTTCTGTGAGAATGACTAGAGGGTGCGTAGCTAAGGGAGCATTAGCCCTTTTTCCTCACATATTTTCATAAACACCATGCGGTGCAGCAGTGCTTCGTCCATGCTTGGTACCTCATCCATGCAGAAATGACTGTCCTCTTCTTCTGTTGTTTAACAGTCAAATGTATCTGCAGGGAATCACCTACTTGCATGATGAAGACAGAGAAAGTGCACAATTAGGCAACTACCAGCAGTGGAGACCTTTGAGCAGCTGGGAGAGAACAATCATGGGTGCTACAGGCACCCATAAAGAAGGGAGGCTTTGTGGAGAGGTAACACCTCTAAAGGCTAATCAAAACTGACAATCAAGCAAGTCAGAGATGTTGCTAACACTTAGGGATGGGAATGTGAGTTTGGCAGAGAGATCTTCTCCCTGATCCGGACTGAGGGAATCCTGTTGTAAAATAGGAGAGCTTGTTGGGTCAAAGGAGAAGGGGTAGCAAGAGGAGGGAGAAATACAGCTGGGAAATTCACCTCTAAAGCAAGGAAAGCTGAAAGAGGGGCTGTCTTCTCAGCACTTGCAAGTAAAAACTGCTTCATGACTGACAAAAGGAGACAGTGAGAGAAAAGGTGATTAAAAAACCCACAAGGCATTGTTTGGAAAGAAGGCAGAAGATAATGGAGAAATAAAGAAGCAAGGAATAAGAAAATATGAAGAGTGAGAGAAATGAAAGGACAGAAGAGGAAGAATAGACTTGAGTTCTTCAGTTTGGGTAGGATTCCACAGCACAGAGTACAACCTGTCTAAGTAAGTGAGCAGAGGTGGAACATACCTGCACTCAGCATCACATCCTACCCAGAGACATCTCACACAGGAGTTAACTGAGCCAAGCTTCCCAAACTGGGAATTATGTATCAACAGAAAGACATAATATTTGGTATATAAACAGTGACTGTTATTTTCTTGGAGCAACAAAGAAATATGTGCAGTTTGTTTGTCTGAAGGCTTAGATTTCCCTCGAGCTACTCCATTTCTGAGGAACAGTGAAATCTCTGGGAGTCTTTTTTCTGCTCTTTTTGTACAGCATGAGGAGGTTACGCTCCAGGCTCAATTTCAAGCTACTACCACAGTCCAGAGAATAATTAAAAATAATGATAACTTTTTAATGACATAAGGCACTTACAGTTTTATTTGCTTTGTCTGCTTCAGTCATTCCCATTTAAATTCACGACGTAGAACATGATATGCAGGATAAACAGAGACAATTATCGAATCCTTAAAAATTAAAGGGAGAATGTAGTCTGTCTTCTTGGGTTTTCCCTTTAATATCTTGAAAGTTCTGTAATTTGCTTCTCTCCAAACAGTTTGTAAAGGTTCCTTCCTCTTCACTATGCTTTTATACAATTTCCACTGCAGTCCCCTCAGATTGTGGAAAAACACATATGGTGTTTCTGACACTGGCAAAAAGGTATGTATTATGTTAGCATATACATAATAATGCTGTTTCTCAGAAAAAGTAGAAGTACATTGTAACAGGCAGAATACCAACTTCTGCAGAATACCAACTTCTGCATGCTAAAACTTAAATTGAAGCTCAGGGCCCAAGTCTGCAGTGCAGTATCCACACTAGTAAAAGCCAGTTTGGTGTGTGTGTGCGTGTGTTTCTTTAAAGCACCATAGGGCTAGTCCTGCTCCCACTCAAATGGGTGAATAAATTCTTACTGATTACAAAGTCAGGAGGAAAAATAATTCACACACCATCATCACCACGGTTTGCCACCTGTTTTGCCAATGTCAGTCAGTAGGTCAAAAACTAACTAGACATCAACACTTACTGACTGCACCCTCTTGTGGATGTAGGATGCTGGCTGATCCATGAAGACACGTTTGCACTGATGCTGCCCACGTTGCATCTGTTATTGGAAGTTAAAAACAGATCTTAGCTCAGTCCAGCCCTGTTTCATCCTGTTCCCATGTTAAAGCCCCCCGGTCATCTAGCCATGGATTTTGTTTCTGTTGGCTTCCAGGAAACACCTTGATGGCGAAAGCATGAGAACCAACTGAAACCAGCTGCCTAAATGTTCATCTGCTTGTGGAGGATCATAGGGAAGTGGATGCTATGGCAGTCTTCCGGTGCAAAGCATCCTCCCTCAAAATTATTCTTAATTCATGGTAGAAACCATAGTGTGTCTCATTCAAATTGTTCCTTGGAAATCTGAGGTTATATCTGAGAATTCAGAAGCTCTAAGGACGGCTTTAACTTTTCCTGAGTTAGGTAGGAAGGCCACTCAGTCCCATGAAACGGGCACTTTTCTTAGACACACACACACACACACACACACACACACACACAAACACAGAGGAAGGGTAAGATATGGAACAGTTACAAAGCCCAAAAGTACTCCGAAATTATGGGGGTGGGGCAGGGAGTAATATGGTTAGTGTTGCTTCGGTACAGATTCTCCAGTCTGCCGTTCAAGTGGGAGCAAAGATGGTCTGCTGTGGAAGACTCTCCAAGCACAATGGTCACATTGTGTGTATGCAAGCCATGAGCTGCAGCAATGTGTCTTAAAATACTTCAGTGCAGAGGTCTGAGTTAACAACAAGGTGACATTCAAGCACTATTGATTCGAAAATCCACTGCTTTGTTTAAATTAGGGCAAAATTGTTAACGTGGATCCAACTCCCACTGAAATCCAAGCCAAGATTCTCACTGAATTCAATGTCAGGAGCAACTAACAAGCTTTGAAGAATTACTCGACTTTGTGCACAAGGGCCAAACATAATACACCATGGATCTGAGCAAGTTCCCAAATGCCTACCGTAATTTTGTTTACCTTTTAGATATTTGTTACAGGTTTTTAACAGAAAAATACATATTTGGTTTAAATAAATGTAGCAGACAGAGTGTTCATTTTTGCTTTGACAAGCCTATTTTTCTATTTCCCAAGTATTCAGGCTTCGATTACCTGGAAATGATCCTCGTGTATATTATCTGAGTTCTCATATTCAGGAACCGTCTCTTGAAATTCAATCTGAATTATTTTCCTTCTTTTAATTCTTATTCTGTTGTTTCTGGCTAATCCCATATGTGCTATTCAGAGACATCCATAAATAAATATCAGTGGAGACTGCTCACCTTCAGAAGCGTGTACTTTAGAAATGGAAGAAGTCTCAAATGATGGCTGGGTTTTTCTCTCCTTCCTGAAATGCTGCATCTTGCATAATATCTCCCCATTGAAACATTTGTGTTGGATCAAAGAAATTGGCATAGGAAGGCAATTTTTGATCAAGAACACATAAGGGAGTATAAGTTTATGCAGAGGGGGACAAATATAAGATTTTTTGTGCCCTCCAGCAACAGATATTTTTGACTTTGATTTAGACAGTTGTTTGAAGTCCTCAGATACGCATCTGCCAGGAATTCTCTGTTCTGTTCTTGGTGATTCAGCATTTTCCTTCACAACATCTATTTGAGAACAACTGCTACTGATAGACTCATCAGAGAACAAGCTTTGGTTTTCACACACTGCAGTATCCCAGGAGTTAGATTTTACTGCTGACTGTACAACACAGAAGAGAGAGATGTGTGTTTGCTCCAAGATTAACCGGTACTTTCGCTGCTCATTTTTAATATTCGCGAGGGATGACAACAACTCGGATACCTAAAAAAATACAGGACATTTTCCATATTAGTGGCCCACTAATGTAGAAATAAACTCTGTGGATGACTTTCAAGGTTTTTTTTTAATTACTATTACTTATTTTTTTAAAAAACAGAAATTCTGATAAGAGTCACAGTTCAGTAGCCATTGATCTGCACAGAATACCAAAGAATCATCCGTGCCACAAAGATCACAGAATGGTTGAGGTTAAAAGGGACCTCTGGAGATCATCTACTTTAATGTCCTAGCTCAAGCACGGTCATCTAGAACACGTTGCACAGCATTATGTCCAGGTGGGTTTTGAATATCTCCAGGGAAGGAGACTCCACCACCTCTCTGGGCAACCTGTGTCAGTGCTCTGTCACCCGCACAGGAAAGAAGTTCCTGTGGTTCAGTTTGTGCCCGTTGCCTCTTGTCCTGTTGCTGGGCACCACGGAGAAGAGTCTGGCCTCGTCTTCTTGATACCCTCCCTTCAGCTGCTTGGACACATTCATGAGAATGTGTCCAATTCAGGTCCCTCTGAATGGCGGCACAGCCTTCTGGTGTGTCAGCCACTCCCCCCAGTTTAATGTCATCAGCAAACTTGCTGAGGGTGCACTCTGTCCCTTCCTCCAGGTCATTGAGGAATATATTGAACAAGACTGGACCCAGGACTGGCCCCTGGGGGACACCGCTAGCTCCACGCCTCCAAGTGGACTCTGTGCCACCGATCATAACCCTCCGAGCTCTGCCATTCAGCCGCTTCTCAATCCACTCCACTGTCCACTCACCCAACCCACACTTCCTGAGCTTGCCCAGGAGGATGTGATGGCAGATAGTATCAAAAGCCTTGCTCAAGTCCAGGGAGACAACATCCACTGCTCTCCCCTCATCTACCCAGCCAGTCATTCCATCACAGAAGGCTACCAGTTTGGTTAAGCATGATTTTCACTTGGTGAATCCGGGCTGACTACTCCTGATCACCTTCTTGTCTTCCATATGCTTAGTGATGACCTCCAGGAGGAGCTGTTCCATCACCTTTCCAGGGATGGAGGTGAGGCTGATAGGCCTGGAGTTCCCTGGGCCCTCCTCCTTGCCCTTTTTGAAGACTGGGGTGACATTGGCTTTCTTCCAGGCCTCAGGCACCTCTCCTGATCTCCAGGACCTTTCCAAGATGATGGAGAGTGGCCTAGCAATGATGTCTGCCAGCTCCCTCAGCACTCGTGGGTGCATCCCGTCGGGGCCCATGGCCTTGTGGATGTCAAGTTTGGCCAAAAGATCTCTAACCCGATCCTCCTCGACCAAGGGAGTCTTCCTTTCACCAGTCTTTCTTTCTTGTCCCCAGGGTCTGGGATTCCTGAGGACTGGCCTTAGTGGTGAAGACTGAAGCAAAGGCAGCATTCAATAACTCTGCCTTCTCTACATCCTTTGTTACCAGGGCACCCGCCCCATTCAGCAGCGGGCCCACATGTTCCCTAGTCTTCCTTTTGCTCTTGATGTATTTGAAGAAGCCTTTCTTGCTGTCCTTGACATCCCTTGCCAGATTTAATTCCAAATGGGCCTTAGCCTTCCTTGTCACATCCCTGCACACTCTGACAACGTGCCTATATTCCTCCCAAGTGGCCAGCAGGGAGTGACCCACAGCAATCATTTGTTGCTTCTTCCGCATATTTCTGCATGGCACGGGTCTATCAGGCCAGTTGCTTCCCTTGAAGCCATGTTCAGCTCCTCCTCAGCCTGGAGGGCGCTAAACCTGTTCCTCAGCTTCAAGTCTTCAGGAGGAGCAAGTGCCTTTCTCCTTCTATGAGAAGCAACCAGTTTCTAGCCTTCTTCAACAGTGTTATGCCGCATAGGGTCCTCTGGCAACTCCACTGCTGTGGTGGGTTGGGACTCCTGCAGCTGCACTGTCTCTGAGAACACCCCGTTGCTCGTCTTTTTGGATGCTATGCAGCCTACTGGCTTCCTCCTGTAACTCCTTTACCTGAGCACACAACTCATCAACCACAGCACATCTTCCGCAGGAGAGCTGACTGTCAGTGTGGGCCTCACGGAGAGGCCCTAGGCACTCCCTGCAGCCTGAGAGCTGCAGAGCTGCATCTGCTGTCAGAAGGTCTGTCTGGGTCCAAGCTTCAGACACAGCTGAAGCCGCAACTCCAGCAGCTACTGGCGAATGTGCTCTGCGGCATGTCACGACCATACCTGAGGAAGTGTACACTACTACAAGAAATGAAAGTGCCTTCTTGCCTTCTGGCACCCTTCTGCATGAACTGCTGCACAAACTGCTGCGTCTGTTCGCTGCGTTAGATCTTGCAATCTAAACCTAGGCTGGAAAGTAATGAAGGGCTAGAGATGAAAGTAACAGCATGATGATCATATAAGATATAGCGAACAGTGCCCCCAGCACTCCACAGTAAAGATAGCAATGACAGGCAAACCCTTTGGATTGCCTTTGTACCATCACATAAAGATGTTTCTTTTCTGATGTTTGTGACAGATTGCAGATGTCAGCTGCTCCATGAAAAATTTCTAATTTTTCTACTATATGCCTTGATTAATAACATTGTCCAAAACGAGTTTAAAAATATAATTTGTCTGGAATAACGTGTAAGACTACTTGTATAAAACAGGTCATTAAGGCTGAGAAAGGGAACCTAACGAAGCTGTATCATTTTGTATCCCACATAGCTCATGTATTGACCCAGTGCCAGCCAAACCCTTACAAGAAGTTGTAAAGATGGTGACCTAAATGATGAGTAGGATGTGCTATCTGCTTCCTCTCATATAGTATTAGGACCAGATCCAAATAGTATTCATTAAAAGCCAGGTTATGCTAAAGGAAACTCAGATAAACTGAGCCTTTCTATATAGCCATAAACAGCATTTTTAGATTAGAAACTAATCAAAGCAGAATGCCTGGTTTTTGGATTGCAATTGAAAAAAAAAGTCATTATAGCTTATTCAGATAGTACTTTACAGTTTACGAACCAAAAAAACAAGAGAGCTGCTTCTATTAAGACCAGAGGCATTGAAGCGCAAAGAATCTAAGCAGAATAAGATACCCGGCTGTTACTGAGCTTCTGATTAAACATGCAGCACCACTGAGAAAGAAACAAAATAACTGTTCAATATTTACTACGCATAAGTAATTATTTTTCTCAGAACGGTGGTAAATGATAACAGGTGAAATACTATGCTCATAAATACTGAGCTTTTAAGGGTAAACTGCTGTAAGTTCTGATTCAAATTCTTTTTTGGCTATAAAAATCAGCCCAAATGTACCTGCAATTTGAAAATTCATTTGTATTTCCTTATTAAACGTTATTACATCAAAACGTAGAATTTTCTCACTCTGACAATGGCATTATACATACTGAAGAGGGTTTTGAACGAATAATCATTTGGTACTGTGTAAGCATCTAGCCAATCATGTGGCATCTAGCCATCATACGCACACACACGCGTGCACCCACACACAAAGGGATGAAAGGAGGTAGATGATACAAAAATCCTACAAACTAATTTTATACTATTAAAATACTCACTTTCCAACCAGAAAAGAACAATTGTTGCTTTTGCTCTGTATCTTCTGGTGGTTTATCACTCCTCGTTTGACCCATTGGACCTTCATTGTGTCGAAAAAAGAAAAGTAACTCTAATTAGTATATAAAAATGTGAAAATGTGAATTGATAAAGAAATAGGATTAAGAAGAAAAGATGAAGAGTGAAAACACAATGCCCTAAATTAAATGGAGAGTGAGTTGATCCCGTATTTCCCAGACAAGCTCATCGGAGCTAAATACGGTCCTTTTCTATTACATACCATAGTGCTTCGCCCACCCATTTAAAACCTTCTCAAAAAAGACACAATTTCTCACTTTCCTTGTGAGATGATTCCCAGGCCAAGGGACTTCAACACCAAGTTCATC